TATGATGAAGAAATTAAACTTCATTTCGTTCCCGTAGCCGAAGGCGGTTTCAATTGCGGTAAGGGAGAATTCTCTTCTCAAAGTTGGCAGAGCGATTATGTCTGACATGAAGCTGAATTTGCTGCGTACCGTGTGTGGCTCAGTATCAAACATTATCGGGCATGTAGTGATAATGATTGACGTTTTACAAACTGGATTTCAGCAGCTGGACTTTATCCTCCTTTATCTGTAGTTTCTAAGAGACAGCAGCGAGAGCGGAAGCTGCGACTCCAAGAGGACCTGGACGATTGGTAGTGGAACACGACTGATAGCCGATCAGTAAGTCAAACACTATATATAGTGCTGATGCCTGGGCAAAACAGCAGGCATAGGGTGCTGACTTGAAAGAAGATGACAGCTAAGCAGATAGACGGTGTGAAACTGAAAAAAACTAGCAGCTACGTTATGTTAACTTGGAGGGGTTGACAACTACGTCTCTATGTCTGTCGTAGCTAGGAAGCCAATTTGCGCCACAATCCTTTGCCGGAGATTGCACCCACAGAATGCTGGTAGTTGACGCAAATTTTAAAAAGTAAGACGTAGTTGTCCTTAAAGCATCGAATCGGAAGGGCTCTGCTCACTTTTAAACAAAATTGAATGCGAAGCGTGGTTGGTGGCGTAAAATGGGGAGTAGACGTTTGCTGTGACGGGGAATGCAGTGGGCGAAGGATGCCGTAGTATCTTAACACTTGGTACGGTTTTAAGTGGCAAGATCCATTATTGACAATCAGGACGAAATTCAACAACATAATGAAGCTTGGTTGGGAACCAAGAATTTTTCGGACTTACGAAACGTATTTTATATTTACCAAGATCACATTTGATGAATCCTTGCTCTGGTGCTTGTAAACTTGTTAGCGTCACTTTTGGCCACACGACACGTTCACCGCCATTCTCCGCCTTGACAATTGAAAATTCAATATCGTTGTTTACAGTAAAATGCCATAACAATAACTGAGATTCCACATCACATATCCTAAAAATATAATATTGCAGGGCGCTAGACAAATTTTCCTGAATTCTTCACACAACATGAAATCCTTAAAACAGGCAAGTAAAGAAATCTAAAATACAAGCCTGTTTTGGCATAAATTGATGAAGTTATGCGAATTGTCAAGGACAGAGGCGTTTTCCGCAACTTTTTATGAGTTTTTGCATTTATGCGAATGAATTCGTGCTCTTTCTGTTTTTATGCCTTTTTGCTGCGCAGAACTACTGTGAGCAACTCGGGCTGGATCGAACCAGGCTTGCCGGTGTGATCGTGCGTGTTTACAATAGACTTGAAGCAATCAAGTCGTTAACTGGATAAATGATTGCTGCTCCACACTTACCTTGTGCGTCCTCTTGCGTAAATCATCGTAAGTTTTAAATAAACAAAAATAAACAGTTGCCGTCGAAAGGACGTTTTATGAAAATGACCTAGCTGTTCACTGAACAATTTCTCCGCCAAAACTTTCAC